TGTCTGAAATTGATCAGCTCTTTCAAAATATCTATACTTAAGTTCATATTAAAATAATGTTCACCATATAGAAAAGCAGGGAAGTGAGTTTTTAACATAGTAACAGTTATATGACTTGGTTATTGTCTTGACTTTCTTTTAACTTGATAGCACAGTTAAGTGCTCACAGAATGAATCAGTTTGGAAGTATGACATTCTGGATAGTATATGGCAATTAATTATTATTAAAGACTCAAAATTAACCTTGCCTTTATAAATGCTTTCAAAAAATGAGTTAAGTAGTAGACTATTCTATAATATTTAACAATACCAGCTCATGTATATGTATGTATGTATATACATTCACACACACACACACACACACACACACACACACACACACACACACACCTACCTACCTATATATTCTGAAATTCTGAGCAATTGGCCAAAGTTAAAAATAGATGTTTTGCAGTTACTGATATAGTTAACAGACTTTTTTTTTATTATTGTTTTGTTTTTGTTTTGTTTTTTTTTTTTAAATAAAGTCTTATTCTGTTATTCATGCTGGTCTTGAACTCTGGTACTTCTAAAACTGCAAGTGTGTAGCAGCCCCAACTCAATTATTTGTTTTGAGGCAGTTTCCTGTGTAGCCCTCCCTGACTTGAAACACTTTATATATTCTTTGTAGCCTGCTCCTAAGTGCTGTGATTGCAAGCATGCTCTCCATCTACCATGCATGGTAAAAATAAATATTGTTTTAAAGGCAGCATTTGTTAGAAAATTGCTCACATCTGAAACAATATATCATCCTGAAGGAATAATACTGATCATGCTGAGTTTTTACTGTGTGGGAATTATAGCTTTAGTTTTGTTTCTTTTTAAAGTAGTTCAGTATTTGAGCTCATTTCTGCCATGTTATTGTTACAATCAAACGTAAATGTACTTGATATTCCTTTAGAACTGTGCTGTATTTCAGCAGAAGCAGGAGGGTATATCTGTCTGTTCTTTAGAAGGAGTGAGTCTAATGCAACAAGACTGGAGGGAAGAGCTGAGCCAGCAGCCTGTGATCTGAGGGAGGTTGCCTGGGAACTGCTGACAGTGAGGTAAAAAGAATGAGCCGAGGTGGATAGAATGGGGTGGGAAAGTCCCATGTTAGCCTGGAGGCTGGGAGGCCCTGACCTTCTGGAATATCCCACCTTAGTAGGAGTACCAGGGAAAGTAAGACCGAAGAGCTACTGGCAGGTAGGGATGGGTGGAGAATGAATGATAAGACTAACTTAACTAAGGTCCTGATGCCCTTGAGAATATCTAAAAAGTTGGCTTGGAGAGCAAACCAATTCTAGTTCATCATAAAAAGTGTTTTTAGCTCTTAATTTCCTTGGTTAATATTTTAATGTTAATTTTATAATGAAAATACAATTATTATTGAACTGTTGACTGTCTCTTATTTATTCAAATGCATGCCTTCCCATATTCCACAAATTATCTAGAACACTAGAATAGAGGAGTGAGCAGTGAGCCATGAATGTGATTTCAGTGCAGCAAGTCTGCTGTCATCATCAGCATTATGCTGATGATGTATTTTCTTGGTAGCTGCAACACCATCCTATGACAGGGATAAGACATGGTAGATATCAGTTGACATGCAACATATACTTAGGTGAAGCTCAGTTGAACTGAGGTTTTAAATCTGTACAAGATATTTGGTAAGAAGAGGCAAGAGAATCAGGATTTCAAGGTCAGTCTGGGCTACATGAGAAACTCCCACCCCAAAATAAAAAAGGCATAAAGATGAGTACATGCATTTGATTTTTTATTTATTTTGTACTGCCATTTTAGTAAAAAATGATAATTGAACAAAATAATTATGTTCACCCCTTGACTAGGGGAGGATTTAGTTTTAAATTTAAACTCTTTACTATCCAAGATAATGGTTTTCTTCCTAGAATTTGAGTTTCTCAGTTGTTTGTATGAACAAACTCCATGATAAGTTGTTCCTAGTAAATTCCCATGGTTCCTTTTCACAGAGCAAGGGATAGAAGGTAGGTTTTTATTAGTATCACTTCCGGCAACAATAAAACAAGTCAAAAGAAGATTCATGGGTGTCATGATTAGCCTGAAATGTAGTGAGGACTAACCCAAACCCTTAGACTACCTAAAGCTGTGAGGAAAACTAGACATAGAAGAATGAGCCAGACAAGGTGGAGATGGGATTTGAAGTTCAGAGTTATGTTTGTACATTTAGTTATTCTGTGTCAGATGAGTTCTACGCATGCTTTCAACAAAAGGAAATAGATCAGTTGGTGTTTGTTCTTTACAGGTACATCAAAATAAAAACAAGATAGGCTGAATACCAGTACTGTAAAATAAAGCAGCTTCCTAGACCCTAGGCTTACAAGGGCAAAGGGATGCATATCTTGGGCACTGGACCCTCGGCTGACAAGGGGCCTCCCATTTTTGGAATACGACTATAAACATGCATACCTGAAGTAGGGACATTACATGGATAGGAAGGAAAAAGGTAGAAGGAAGTATCATTTTCTGGAGGTGGAGGGCATCTTGTACTTTTTCATTTCCTTAGCTAGAAAAAGTTTTAGAAGATTTTAGGACCAGTCTTAGTCTTCTCCACCAGAACGAGCTAATTTTTTAAATAGTTAAAACAAAAAGGATATGAGGAAGATTCCAAGATGACAGAGCTGTACTTTGGGCTGACAGCCTTAGGGACCTTGATTCACAGGTCTGAAGCCATTGAGTGCTCATAGTTTTGACGTTGGAAGTTTGTTTTCTATGTTTGAGGGTTTTGAGGCTTATGTAAGGCTGATCAGGATCTAATGTACTAAATGAAATTGAATCTTATTCTTTCATATTTGTTCTTTTTAAAAACAGATGTTCATATTTTCTAGATAATGGCAAGATATTTTGGTCATAAGCAGATACTTGAGGTCAGTGGTTCTCTGCTGGAAAAGTATAAGCAGAAGCATTTGATAGCTTTTGCCAGGTGTACACACACACACCCAGCAGCTTCCCATCTTTTGAGTAAGAGTTGGAGAATCAGTGGGCAAAATGAAATTCAGGTATGTAGCATTAGAAGAAGCCAAATAGATATTATCTTATCTCAACCCTTTAGCTTTAAGAATTATGGTTCCAAGTGGAGTCTCTGCTACTCAACAACGAAAACAAAATCCTAAGTCATTAAAATAACTACATAACACAGAATTTCACCTGTAGTGGCAAAATTATCCAGCATCCATATGAATAAATTGACTTTAGTTTTTGTGTGAATTTTTTCTCTGTTTGTATCTTGCAAAAAAAAAAACTCTGCATGGACAGGCTTTGAAGCACTAGATTGATTCTTTTTAAATGCTCTTGCCATTTTGAGCTCTTGTATCTATGATCTTAAGTTTTTCGTGTTTTAAATATTTTTTTATTCATAAAGTGTTGAGCAAAAAGCTGGAGTGGTGCTGAAGTTTTATGTTTCTTCCATACAGAATTGTTATTGGAAGTTGTTTGTTTATTGTATACCAGGGAATTAATGATTTATCATTTTTAATTTTAAGTTACTACTCAAAAGTTAACAGATTCCAAGGCAACTAGGAGATCCTTCACTTTGAGAAAAATTTATGGGAGTGGAAATACTTTCTTTTTGTAAACAGTTACTGATGTACAATATCCTCTAGGGTGTCAGTTCTGGTATTTATGTTTTAATTAAAGAGCACCCTGCCTCTCTATTTGTGGGCCACTTAAAAGAAGTGGGTGTCTTGGTGAGAAGTTGAAGAGGTTGGAGCCTGTAACTGAGTTTAGGATTGACTCAGCTCTGGCCAGCAGTGGTATATGAATGCCAAGTGCTAAGAATGTTTGGAATGTAGACTTGCCAGCACTGATAAAGTTTGCTTTGTTCCCCTGTGTGACTTGACCCATTGAGAAATTGTGGTTCCCTAGGAAGTTTTAATAGTTCAAAGTGTTTAGTTAATAAAGAGAATGGCCACAACATAATTCAGCTTGTTTTCACCTGCTGCCTCAGAGATTAACTTTCTTAACCATAATGGGAGAGAACTACCCTTTGCTTCGAAAAAGAAATTTATGGAACTCATCACATTTGTTAGTTTCCACAAACATGAAGCTCTCTGTGGGGATAGTTGTATTATAAAATCCCAAGGCATTGGCAATTTAACCTTGTGGTAATTTCATCCAAAACCCAATCTCAGGGAAAGGCACACCCACTTTCTGTATCAGCTTAATCTTTCACTAGACTCAGAAGGGTTTTGAATTACTTCAGGAAAAGTAGTGACTGATAGAGCCTAACCTTCCGTTTTCCTCATTTATTTTCATTAGAGAATGGGAGTGGAATTCAGAACATTCAGATGTGGAGTTAATGTGCGTCACTGCTGCCAGCCCCTGCTGCCAGTGATAGGTTCTGTGTTTTTCCAGTGGGAAACTCTGACCCACAGACTGATGCATGCGGACCAGCACTCCTCGAGCTTTGCTGCTTTTCTCCCGGTTGTAGCTTATTCTTTCAAACATCAGCTGACTGTACAAAGCCTCTGTGGAAGCAGATTTCAGAACAAAGGTGATCTGTGTAAGCAGCACGTAAGTCTTTTCTGTTTATAACTTCCCTTTTTTTATTGACAGTCTAAGCTCCCCTACTTGAGTTTTTAATGTTGAGTACACTTTATGCTGTGTTGATAATCAAGCTTTTCTTGGTTACTTTTGCTCAAAGAAGGATTTTGATGAACTTATGTATGTTGTAACCACTTGGCTGTTTGTTTCTACAGCCAACAGTTGTGGATGAAAGCCATTTAACATATGTTTTAGTAAATGTGTTTGACACTTAGTAGATGAATAATAGATGTTCCAGAAGCATCTTTCTGTTTGGAACTACAATCATTTTCTAGGGCCTGTATGTGTGAATGAGGCTTTACAGTTTTAAAGAATTGTTGGCCTGTACATTTCAGAAATACCTACAGGAGACTTCTCAGGTCAGTGAGACAGAATGCTGAAGAAAGCATATCTCTGTTGACAGTGAGCGACTGTAAACATCCTCGACTGGAAGCTGTGAAGCCACAAATGGGCTTTCAGTCGGATGTTTGCAGCTGCCTACTGCCTCCAACTTCAAGGAGCAATTATCTTGTTGGCTGAAACCAATACCTGTTTTCTCTTTGATTTATTTTTACAAAGCTTAGTTGGAAAAGATATAAATTAAGCAACTTCTAAAGCACAAGTGTTCTTCCTGTGCATAGAATATACAATATATGGTCTAAAACCCAAAGAAGTAACAGTATTCTTGAGATACTGAAGTAATTGTATCATATATTATTATTATTATTATTATTATTATTATTATTATTATTATTGTTTTTTTGTGACAGGGTTTCTCTGTGTTGCTTTGGAGCCTATCCTGGCACTCACTCTGGAGACCAGGCTGGCCTCGAACTCACAGAGATCCGTCTGCCTCTGCCTCCCGAGAGTATCATTATTTTTAAAATATGCTAGGACAGTGCTTCCAAAAATATTCTAAAACGTGGGCTCTTTGATCCACTATTTTTATATTAAATCTCACAGTAGGTATTTTTAGAGCCATTCACAAAAACTTTTGTTAATATAGCTAAATTATTTGAGGAAAGTAAAATCCAAAGTAGAGAATTAATTCATGCTTTATAGTACTTGAATTAAACCACCTATCCCTTCTTGGGTTAGTGTTTAAGTTAATGAAGTATTTAAACAATGCATTTGGCTTTGTTTTGCTGATAAAAAATACAGTATGGTCTTGTTTGAGATTTTCCTTTTAGCTGAACTGATAAAGTAACCATCTCTCTTTAAAATAGTCAGTGCATCACATTCCGTTCTTTATGAAGACAGTTTCAGAGTGGGAAGCCCAACACAGATCTCTGAAGGACACAGTTTCTAATTTGCCTTTTTTGTAAATCTATATTCTTATGGTTTAATGTGAATTTTTAGTTAAATTGTGGGAATGAGACTCCTTAAGAAGCGAAGTAGGCAGTATCTTTATCTTCTAGAACATAGCTTTTGAAAGATAGTATTTTCATTATACACTACAACTTCTATTCTCCCACTTAATACACTGGTCTTATTAATAGGAAGACATACTAAAGGACTGTGCTACATTCCATAAGTGCTGACTATGCTGATAGGTGGGATGGAGAGATTGGTGTATAGAATTAAGTTTCCCTCATACGTAAGCCATCAACAGAGAAAACTCAATTAGTTGTGTCAGGCATGAGGAGTTAGTTGACTACCTCTGGAACACAGGGGCCTGAATAGAGAGCCCTCAGGTCTGGAACTGAGCACAGTATTGCTTTAATAGGTAAACTGAAAACAGTATAAGTAACTCAGCTGTGTCCTAAGGAAATGGCTATAGGTTTGAAGAAATTCTGTGACCTTCATTATCTTTATATTCTCCCCTGTGTTATTTCACACTCCTTTCCTTGCTTCATTGACTTGTAAATTTTCCACTTTCCACTTCTATTTGGTTACTTCCTTCACATAAATAATGACTTACTGGAATTTTTTTACTTGTAAGTTTGCTTCATTCTTAGACACTCCCTAAGCCAGCAGATGTAACTCTCCATTAGCTGTTTCTGTTTTGAAATTAATACATGTTAACGTTTTGTGTTCCTCATTTCCACAGTAATAATCTAAAATGCTATCTTAAAATATCAACAATGTGCTATTTAGAGTTGAAATAAGATCTGGATTTTTTCCTTCATTTTTATAAAAATAAACTTCAGCTTAAAACTTAGCAATATTACATTTACATAGTTTTGTCAAAGTTATTGTGCACTTTAAAATTAAGTATCATTTAACTTGCTCATTATTTTATACATACTTCTTTAATAATAATTTATTGAAATTTCACATCCATATCTGCTCAATAAAGCATCTTACATGAACCACAACATAAAACAGTGCTCCTTTTCCTCCTCCCCCTTCTCCTTTCATGCTGGGCCTTGTGCTTGTTAGGCAAGGGTTCTTAAACTGAGTACATGCCAGCAATACTAGAGTCTTAAAGTGGCCTACAGCAGGTCAGATACTGAGAATAAAACCAAGGTCCTTGTTGCTGGAGAAATGCACTCAAGTTGGTTTAAACTTAGCAGTGTTTTAAAAGTGAGCAGCATGTCTACAATCCCTAAGTCGGGTATATTTAGTTTTGTTTGTAATTTTCCAAAATAGAAATTGTAACATCCTTTGAAAGGAGATTTCTAAAGGAGGAATATAAGAGCTGAAAGTGACATTGATGATTCATTTACATGCTTTTTTTTTCCTGACCCTAGAACTCTGACTTGAACCCACACTTAAGTTTATAGGGATGTCTCCATAAATAGCATACACGTGTAACTCCTTTCCTCCCTGAGAGGACAGCTGCAAGATGTGAGGATTGTGATGACAAGAGAACTGAATGTAACAGGGTCCCATGTGGTTTTCTTATCTAGACCTGTGAACTCCATCTCTGCCTGCATTGCTATTAGATTGTGTTGTTTTCTTATGCTAAGAATTACCTAAATGTTACTTATCAAGAAAACAGTCTTCACTAAGTATTATCAGTTTTAATGCTTTAATAACATTATTTGAAGTTGCCAAGTTGTTTTTGTCTATTGGGACTGTAATAGGGTGTTAATTATGTCTTTTAATTTTTGAAATGACTTAACAAAATCCTAAAGATGATTTATAGTGAACTGTCATAAGAGATTTGCTAAAGGAACTGAGAATTTTCTTCACATGGCCCTCTGAGTAGTACAGAGTAAGTACTGGAGATTCTAAATAGATGGGAAAGTAGGCTTGTTAGTATATATTATTATCTATGTTATTTATATAGTATATATAAACCCATATATTATATAAGTTATATATGCTATATATTTCATATAATATAGTGTATGTCTATATTAGAGTTGTTTGTATGCATGAGTAAGCAAATAGAGAACTGAACTATTTGAGATTGAGGTTTTTATCATTATTATTTTTCTTCTTCATTTTTATTCCTCTTAGCAGAAATTCAGTAAATAAGTTTGGGTTATTTTGTTAGTGGTGGTAGTGGTGGTGCCTCTTTTATTTTTGTAAATCCACTAAATGTGGAACTAACCAAATGGCTCATTGGGTAAAGGTGATTGCCTCCAAGCCTGATGACCTGAGTAAAGTTCTGGGCCTCACTGGGTGGAATAAAAGAACTGACACCTATCTACAAGTTGTTCTCCCGCTTCCTCATGCAGACTGTAGACTGATAAACATTTATTTGTGGAGTCACAAATCAGTACATTTAAGAAAAGGAGTGTTTTAATCCACCGACAATTGGATCTTGCAAATGGTACTTGATGAATTAAATATTCTTTAATAGACTTCCTTAATGGTTGTTCATGACAAGTTATCTGTCACTAATATATAAAATCTGGCACTGTGTATGTGGTGAGCAAGTTAGTGTTGCCAAGTGATACCTAATCTGCCTTTCTAATTTGTAGGTTTAATTATTATATAAGCTTAATGATGCAGTGCTGTTATAATGAAAGTTTTTTTGTAGCAAAATGCAAATTAAAACAAAGTAGACTGGGGAGCCATTCAGCACAGTCACTAAATGTGAACTTATTGTCTCCACAGACTTCACAGCCTCACATTATTAGCGAGATTAATAAAGTCCATCAAATTCCCTTTCATTTCTGGGTAATATCAGAATCTTTCTTGTGAGAAAACACAAAACAGTGTAATACTGTATCTTAAGTTGTTACACTTAGTGATTTCTTGCAAGGCTGACCACAATAGCTAAATTTGGGATTTGGTGAGTTTTAGCTAAAGAATGAAACTCTTGAAAAATATAAATGCTTATATAAGAAGTCTGTAAGTAAAGGAAATTTTACATAATTTAAGAAATGCCACAGTTGAATATGTAAATAAATACCCAGTGTCATAAAACAGTTATCACTTGTAGTCATAATACCCCCAATTAGTAGGTATTTATTTACTGGCAGGATATGTGACGTAATGTCATCAAAACATCCTGGCCATGTTTGGATGAAGATTTATTTGCTCTGAATGTAACTGTACAGAAAAGAGTCAGAGGATTTGTAGAACTTGCAAATTTAAATGTTCACTGTTAAGCATTCTGGTTTTGACACAGTATATCTTTCTAAGTATGTACCAAGGAAATCATTTTGCTAAATTACTTAATTTTTAAGTATTGCCTTAGATTAAAATTATTTGGGAATTCATAAACTTAAAGTATGGACTGCCTATCTAGGAAATATAATTTTTATAAATACTTTTTGTTTTTGATGACTTTCTTGGTCATATCAGCCTCATGATTTTAATAACTAAACCTGTATTTTACTTAAAATTTAGAGTTCCAACAGTCCAAAACTGAACTATAAGTAGAAAATCTGCATATATTGTTCATAGGATAATGTCTAACTGTATCTTAACAATCTTTCAAATTTTCACACTAAAGCTTTAGATTCTGGGTTTATTTCATTGGTTTCTTACAACTCAGGCTAAATCTATGAATAATTTAAAAAAAATCACAATGAGTTCTTAGAAAATTTCAAAATTTAAGGAGACTTTAAACATGTAAATTCAGTTAATAAAAATGAAATCTACTGAAGCATAATTTATCCTTTCTTATATAATAGAATCTTTCACATTGTTGGTATGAATTTAATTATTATTGAATGTTTGTATTCAACTAGCTAATTTAAAGCCACTTTAAAAATATACTTGAGGTTATCTGAGACAGTATTAGATATAGATCAAGAGAAGTTAGAATAATGGTATGTTAGATGTAGATGTGAATTCAGTACTAACATATTGCTTCATTTTGAGAGCCCCTTCTGATGAGGTCTTTCTGATCGAGTTTGTGTCTGTCTTCTCCTTAAATCCCTGCTGCACTTTTCTTGTCCACTGTGTCCTTCCTCTTGCCTCAATTCCTTCCTCTGAACAGATGAATGTTCTTAATCTCATCGATACTCCCAAACACATAATCCTTGCATACTTTGACACATGAGCATGCATGAACACTCATGCTTTATTTTTGGCTCAAAATATCTGCATACTTTGACACATGAGCATGCATGAACACTCATGCTTTATTTTTGGTTCTA